GGCCCTGAGCTAATGTCTCAGTATGGGCCATAGCAGGAAGGCTAACCCAGGATAACAAAGGTCAGCAGGTTAGTCATTGACCTTGGACCAATGTGACCTTGGGCAAGTTCCTTCCCCATTTGGGGCCATATAATTTAAGTCTCAGAATACTGAGAGCTAGTTTCTGCCAGACCTGGTCCATCATTAGACAAATCCTGAATGTTCATGGTATCATATCTTTTTCAATGAACAAAAATCTATTTTCTCTTCTTCCCACTTCTCCCTCAGTAGAAAAAGAAAAAAAGAAAGACAAAATTTATGTAACATATGTGGATGGTTAAGCAAAACAAATTCCTGCATTGGCCATGTCCTAAAAAAGAATGTATGTCTCATTCTGCACTCTGAGTCCACTACTTCTCTGTCAGGTGTTGGGAAGCATGGTTCCTCTTCAGTCCTCTGGAATCATTGGTTCATTATGAGTGAACCAGTGAGTAATGGGGGTAATCGAGGGAGCCCTCCCTGCAAACTTCTTGCCTACGGCCTGGGGGTGCCAACCTCATGGAGTATTATGAGCCTAAGTTTGTATGCCCTCCTGATACCAGTGACACATGTGCCCTGGCTCTGTGCCCTGAGTGTAGGGCATTTGTGGTTAGTCCCCAGGGGTATTGGTGGGAATATTCCAAAGAGGATGAGAAACCACCTACTCAGTGGGCTTAAAGAAAAATGATTCTCCCTCTCTCTCCTTCCTTTTTTCTTTCTCTTTCTCTCTTTTCCTTCCTTCCTTCCTTCCTTCTTACTTTCTTTCTCTCTTCCTTTTTTCTTCCATCCTTCCTTTCTTTTTCCTCTCTCCAATTTCCCTTCCCCTTCTCACTCTCTCCTCTTTCTCTTTTCCTTACTTTCTTTCTCTCTTTCTCTTTGCCTTCCTTCCTTTCTTCTTTCTCTTTCTTTCTCTCTTCCTTCCTTCCTTCCTTCCTTTTTTCTTTCTTCTTTCCTTTTTTCCTGTCTCTGATCTTTCTCTTTCTCATCCCTCCTCTCTCATTTTTTTCTTCCTTTTTTCTTTCTTCCTTCCTTTCTTTTTCCTCTCCAATCTCCCTTCCCCCTTCTCACCCTCTCCTCTCTTTCTCTCTTTTTCTTCCTTTCTTTCTCTTTCTCTTTTCCTTTCTTCCTTTCTTCTTTCTCTTTCTCTCTTCCTTCCTTCCTTTTTTCTTTCTTCTTTCCTTTTTTCCTCTCTCTGATCTTTCTCTTTCTCATCCCTCCTCTCATTTTTTTCCTTCCTTCTTTTTTCTTCCCTCCTTCCTTTCGTTTTCCTCTCTCTGATCTCCCTTCTCCCCTTCTGAACCCCTCCTTTTTTTTCTCTCCCCTCTCTCCTCTTGCTCTTTCTCTCTCTCATCACTTAGGCCTCAGATGGCCTCTTCCTTGGACTTCCAGTTTGGAGAGGGAGGGTATCTTTTTCCTTCTCCCTGGCAGTAACACGTGCTTGCCTATCTGAACCTGAGACTGTACTGCAAGTTGATGACTGCCTCTTCTGCTTTATGAACAGCTCATAAAACAACTCTGAGCACAGGAGACCAGATAGTGATAGTGAGATGGGTATTTCTATCCTTGACAGCTACCTCCTGAACTTGAGAGTTCTGCAGCTCCTGGATCCAGGTGCCTGTTGGTGAGGCCTAGATGCTTCTTGCTGCTACTCTTTCTCAGGACATTCCCTGCCAGGACCATGAGACATGCATGAACAGAAGATACAGACCTGGGTGAATTACTTGGACAGTTCTATGTTGGGTGAAATCCGTATGGCAGTCTCACAAGCCTCCCAGGAGACAGTAATGAAAGTGATGGGCTTTTGTGAGTGTCTTCTGTATCTCATGATGAGATGAGCCCTTTATCATGGGTTACTGTAGGAAAAACTGGGTTAAGACATTTTCTCCGATCCTCACACCTCTCAAACCTCTCCAAAATAGGAATTATATGCAAGAGATGAGGCAGTTTTAGCCGTCTCCATGGTCTGGATACTAAGAATGCAAATAAGGTAATAATTCAATGAACTAACAGCAGAGAAGACTGTCTGATAGTCCCTAACAGGCTCATTCAGCATCCCTCCCCCACTGCCCACCACATAGGACTTGGGCAGGGCTGCCAACCCCCTGAAATCCACCCACCCTCCTCCCAGTGCCTTAGAAATCCAAATGGCAGAAGCTGGGAAACCTATAAATTGCTGGGTTTAGGAGGAGCCTGAAGTGACTTTGAGATGCAACTCCCAGCGACTTCACCATCAAAGGAAGGGGGAAGTGGAAAGGGAGAAGGGGGAAGGTAATCAGCATTTGTATAGCTGATATGGGCCAGATATTGTGCTAAGCACTTTTTACAATTATCTCATTTGAGCTCACAACAACCTTGTTGGGATAGGTACCCATTTTACAGTTGAGGAAACTGAGGCAAATTGAGGTTAAGTGAGTGGCCCAGGTTCACACAGCTGGTGAGTGTTAGAGATTGAATTTGAACTCAAGTCTTCCTGACTCCAGGCTTAGTACTCTGTCCTTTGGGCCAACCAGTCAGAAAGTGAACAATAGGGCAAAGATAAGGAAAAAAGACTGAAATTAGAAAAGACCTCAGAAGGAAGAAAACTCAGTTAAGGACCTTGAACATAAGCAGCTAAATCAGCAGGGAGGATCTTGACAGCAGGAAGGAATATGGTTTTCAGATCTGGGAAAAACCTGCCCCCCTCCTACCTTTCCAGTTTTCTTACACCTTCCAGCCCATCACATGCTCTTCAGTCCAATGACACCAGCATTCTGGCTGTTCCTTAAATAAGAAGCTCCCTCTCCTAACTTCGAGGCATTTTCCCTGGCTATCTCCCATGCCTGGAATGCTCTCCCTCTTCATCTCCCCCTCCCGGCTTCCCTGGCTTCCTTCAAGTCTCAGCTAAAATCCCATCCTCTACCAAAAGCCTTTTCTGATTTCTCCTTAATGTTAGTGTCTTCCCTCGGTTGATTGTTTCCTATTTATCCTATTTATAGTTTGTTTGTACACAGTTCTTTGCATGCTCTCTACCTTGTTAGATTGTAGCTTCCTAGAGGCCTTCTGCCTGTCTTTTTTTTTTTTTGTATCTTCACTGCTCAGCACATTGCCTGGTACATAGTAGGCACTTAATAAATGTTGTTATTGTTTCTCCTTCATTCTTAAAGAAGATCAATGACATCATGGCTATGATATCTTGACTGACTGACATCTCAAGGAAAATGAATCAACACTCGATGAGCTGACCAAAGAGAATATGCAACAACAACCCATCATTCCTGAGTGGTTGAAAGGAGAATAAGAATTGTGAAAATGAAATGCATGGCCCGCCCAGCAGAAATAATTGGCAGAAGAGAAAAAACTTGAATCCACGGTGGCAAGTCTCAACAAAGAAACAAAAGAGAGAATAACTAATTGGGAATGCAAATAAATGACATCAAGGACAATCTGGAAGAAAAGAAGCAAAGAGCAATAACATTCAAAGAAAGTGTGATCATCACGCAAGCAGAACACTGACCTCAAAGACAGGATGTATAGAGACAACTTAAATCGGGCGGTACCTATTTATTAAGTACCTACTCTGTGCCCAGCACTGTGCTAAGTGCTGGGACCATAAAGATCATAGGATTCGTAGGGATGGGTTACCATTTCATTTTAAAAATGCTTGTTAATAAACACTTCTTAATCTTTTGTTTTAACATTTCTTTTATTGTGGAGGTGGTAAATAGCTGAACTATTTTGTATATTGAGTACCTTTCCAGAAGGGATCTTTTAGTCCCTTTCGGAGGATCCCTAAGAATGAGCCAGACAAGTTTTAAGGGATTTCTCCCAGAGCTGTATTCTGGTATAGGGAAAATGAGCCAGAGAAAGAGAGAAGAGCCTGATGCCCTTGCTTTGAGATCAGCCTCCTTCAGGACATGAACCTGATCCAGACCTGGGGCCCCTTGCTATGACAAGGGTATTCCTCAAAGGTAAGGGGGAGAGTAGGATAGCATTAACCTTTTTTTTTATTTTTAATTTTTTTTGGCTGCCATGAGGCCATTGACTTAAATTGAACACGTAGTACACTCATACCTGCAGATCTTTTTCAAGTGAACTACTGTCTGGCTGTATTTCCCCATCCTGTCTTTGTGAAGTTGATTTTTTTGGAAGGAACAATGGAAAAAAAACCCTAAATGCCTGCTATATGCCAAACATTGTACTAAGTGCTGTATATATATTATCTCATTTAATTTCAATGACCCTGGGAGGTAGGTACTGTTATTATCCTCAATTTATAGATGAGGAAACTGAGGCAGAAATGAAGTGACTTGTCCAGGGTCACACAGCTAATAAGTGTCTCAAACTGGATTTGAACTTAAGTCTTCCTGACTCTAGGCCTACTGTGCCACACCTAAATGTACTTGATATTTCTCCTTATTAAATTTCAGCTGACTGGGTTCAGCCTATCACACTAATCTGTTGAGTTTCTTTTGGATCTAGGCAGGGGCAGAGGCTGTAACCTGTGAGGAAAGTGTTGCTCCTAGTCTGGGCATAGGGTCTCTTTCTAAGAACCTCCTTCCTCTAAGGCTTATAGTTAGGGAATACGGGTCCTCCATCTCCATGGAGGGAGAGTTGGGTAGTGGGCTGAGTAGTCTGTGCACATATGTAATGTACACATATGAGCACTGTACATGCTTTAGCATGTGTTAGAGAACCATCTGTGTGGCACATTTGCACATGGACATGCCCATGTAGGTGGAACTCTTTCAAGGGGATGGGTTGGTAGGCAGGCATCTCCATACCCTTTGCCTCCTGCTGCAGGAGATTTGGGAGGTCGACTTAAACCTTTCTCTGACATTGATGGGGAAAGCTGAGCCCCTTAAAGTCAAGGAGGCTGAGGAAAGACTCTATCCACCTGACCATTGTTGGGAGTAGAAGACCCCAGAGTCTCTATCCCTAGCATCCTTGAGGTCCCAGGGCCAGGATGGAGAACGGTAAGGGGAAATTTCTCAGGACACAGAACCTGGTGTTTGGAAATCTTTATTTTTCACCAAACTTTGTATTGTATGGTATTTTACAATCAATGCTGGACTCTGCCTTCTAGCCCCCATGTCCTCTCACCCACCCAGACCCATGCCACCCCATGAGCAGTGCCCCAAGTCCCTACTCCACCCTCCCCCTTTCACCCTTCCCCACCATTTCCTATTTACAGTTATCCCTTTGATAAAATCCACTGTGTCCCCTCCCACCCATCAGGGGGTTTGGTATCGCCCCTTTTCCCCATGCCTCTTCAGGCCCTAAGGTCTGGGGAGGCCATTAGTTGAAGCAAATTCCCCTCCCCAGCCCTCTTCTTTGTCCCCTGCCCCATCCTTACCATCTCCTGGTCCCCTGGGCAACAGATCTGCCCACAGCATGAATGCCTGGCTCTGAGCCCTGAGCACCAAGAGACAGAGTCTCCCTGGACCAGGGCAAACAAGCCGACGGATAGTGGTGGCTGGGATCCAGCCCCCAGGCTGGGTTCTCAGTCCTTAAACCGGCGGCCAGCTGGGATCTTCTTGTAGTAACTCTCAGCCTCAGATTCTCCGTGCCCATCCCTTTCAGACAGCGCTAGGCTGCCAGGTTTGCGCCGAAGAGTGGACTCCCTGCTGGCGGGTCCCAGCACCCCTTCGCCTGGGGTCGGCATCCCCTCGCCTGTGGCCAGGTTGACGGTGGCTACGCCGGTGAAACGCGGTGGTTCGTCCTGGTCCACGTCACTGATGGAAGATCCGGGGGACACACCAGGGGCCTTGCTGGCCCGGAAGCTGCCCCCAGCCCGGTAATCACGGCCCGCCAGCTCCCCCAGCTCATAGGTATCACTCCCAAGCTCAGCACCTTTGGCCCCGGCAGCTGCCTTCCACTCCCAGGGCCCGTTGCCAGAGGACAGGTGCACGACAGGGTGGTGGGGGGCATGCGCATCAATGGTGACTATGCTGCCGCTGTCGCGCTCCGAGGGCGAGCGGTATTGGGAGGAGTCAGAGCTGGCACTCGAGGACGAAGCTGTTTCGGCCGCCTTCGGGCCCGGCGGACCCCCAGGCCCCATGCCTGGTGCCTTGGACATAGCAATGACCTGCAGGAGCCGGGGTGGGTTGGCCACGCGCGGTGGGGCCGTGACAGAGGCTCCCCCTTTCTCGGCCATCATGAGCCACTTGGCCCTCACGGCTGAGCTGCTCTTGGGGGAGAGGCTGGCGCTTGCTGGGCTGCTGGCCGTGGCCTGACTCTCCTCGGGGATATGCACCAATGGGGGGGCACCAGCCCGTGGCGGCAGGAGCACCCGGGGCCCCAGCCCTGCCCTTTCGGCCCCAGCCCGGGCCTGCACGGTCGGGTACAAGGAAGGCGGGATGGGGCCCCCCTCCTCCTCCTCCTCCTCTTCCTCTTCCTCCTCTTCTTCCTCCTCCTCTTCCTCTTCTTCCTCGGCCATGGGCTCTGCAGCCCCTCGGAGATGGCCTGGTCCAACCTCCTCAGCCAGGGCCAGGGCCCGTCCCCCCTCCAGAGACTTCTGTTTCCATTCAGTGATGAGCTGCTTGGAGCGGGAGGCATCCAGGGGCACGTGGATGGTCATGTGGCGGCGGGCAGGGTCATCCAGGGATGGGGTGTTGACCCGGGGCAGGGTGTTGCTGAAGGTTACCATGTTCTCTTTGCCCATGGGGCTCCGAGGGGCCAGAAGGTCTACGTCTACACTGGCACGCTTGAGACTGCCCAGCGACGTCTTCTCCCGTGGCACTGGCCGGGGCACGCCCTCAAGTCGGGTCTGTGGTGTCAGCTCATCTGTGCTGACTGACTTGTTCTGGTGGTAGACAGAGTCATGGCCTCTCTGGGTCAGGGCCCGAAGGGCATCCTTGGCTGGTGGTGGGGCTGGGGGCTTCTCCAGTGGGGCCCGGAAGTTACCCACTGCGTGGCAGGCCTGTGGAATATGGGGCAAGTGTCAAAGTTGGGGGGAGGTCCCCTGAGGTCAGGAACTATGTCTCTACCTCAGACCAGGGGCTCCCTGAGGGCAGGCTTGGGTTTTCTCCTCAGCCAAGAGGGCGTGTCTGAAGGCAGAGTTACATCTCTAGGGCCTCTATGAGAGCCCAACCACGTCTCCTCTTTCTCCTTCTCACCCCTTCCTCCCAGACTCACCAGGTAGGCAGCAATGCCGGCACCGATGAGGAAGCCACTGTAGACATCACTGGGGTGGCTTCGGTGCTGTGTGATCTGGGTAAGGCCACACACCCCCGCAGCAATAGCAAAGGCAAAGACCAGGATGGGTTTGAGCAGCTTGGTGCTATCCGAGATGATGGAGTTAAAGTACATCTGTGTGGAGAGATGCCTGTCAGAGCCACGGGGAGACTCTACCTGGACCCTCCTTCCCAGATGTGCACTACATGCAGAGGATGCTGGCAGAAGTCAGGAGGCTGGGAGGATAGGGTGGAGGCCAGGCAGAAGCCCGGCACATTCAGGGGTAAATGGCTGGTGGGTCCCTTTGGAAAGGGGGCAGGTCAAGGGTTAGGGAGGGGCACAAGGGGAGACTCTGAGACTTCATGCGGATGGGAATCGAGGCTGCATCCCCAATGCCAGGAGACTCACTCACCGACACATAGACAGCTGCGAAAGCCGAAAGGGTGGCATGCTGGGATGGGAAGGTCTTCCTGCCAAGTGAGTCAGTATCCGCATCAGGCTCCCATACTCCCCCTCCCCAATCCCTGTATCACATGGCCTGGAGTCTGAAATCTAAGATCCTGTGATTTTCAGTCTTGGTGTGTCAAGAGCCCTGGGTTCTAGTCCCGGCTCTGCCCCTGACTCCCTGTAAGCTCAGTGAAGCCCCCTGATCTTTCCAAGCCTCAGTTTCTTCATCTGTAAAATGGAGGGACTGGGCTTGTTCATCTCTAGGGACCTTCCCAACTTTTGTTCTTAGCTTGTGATAGGAACATAGAGCTGGAAAGACCCTTCAGAAACAAAATGTCTGAGCTAGAAGGGACTTATGGGCCATCTGGTCGTATCTCCTACATTTGCAGGAAGGGAGGCCGAGGATGGTGAAGTGATCAGAAACAGGATCTGAATCTAGGTCCTCTGATTCCAAATTTAGAAAATCTTGCCCTTCCAACCTCCTTATGGTACTACATTATCCTAAAGGTTCTTTGAAACCACACCATGAGGTGCAGTGGAAAGAACACAGTTTGGAGTCAGAAGACCCAGGTTCCAATTCAGATGCTGGTATTTAATACCACTGTGACCTTAGGCAAGTCACTTCACTTTTTTGGTGTCTTAGCTTCTTCATCTATAAAAATGAACGGAAATGGTCTCCAAGGTCCCTTTTCAGCCCTGACCTTCTATTTTCAAAGGCCCCTTCCCACTCTAAACCCCATAATTCGGGACATGTGACTTCATCTCTTTAGGGCCTGGCTCAGAGCTGCACAACTGAAAAGCGTCAGATCTTCTTGGCTTCCAGAGCGGCACTCTATTCTGGTGCCAAGCTCTCTCTTAGAGCTTGGGATTTCAAAATAAATATATACAGGGTAGGTTGGATTTATACCCTCTCCAATCAAATGAGATTTAACGTCAAGCAGTACTGGCTCCCTGCTCTTGGGGCACAGATGGCCCCTGGCTCTCGGGCCCCACCCCCAGGGCAGCGGCTCACCTGGCAGAGAGGATGGCATGAGCATCCTGGCCGGAACAGATGTCCTGGGTGATGTAAGGGTTGGCATCACAGGAGATGCCTAGCAAGGTATAATTGGGCTTGCAGACTGTCAAGAAGAAGGGAGCATGGTAGCCTGTGGCCAACTGGATGATGTCAGTGACCAGGGCTGTGGCACACAGGCCAAATACATGGACGCCTGTGGAAGGAGGAGGGAAGGGTCAGAGGCGCTGTGTGTGAATCCCACATTGTCCCAAGAAGCTACCCCTATGCCCATCCAGACCCATTGGGAAGGAGGCAAATGGGAAAAGCAAGAAAAGCCACAGGAATGTGGGCATGGCTTAGCCAAGGGAGATCGAAAGTCCAGCGGTGACAGTATGTGCTGGGGTGCCTCTCCCAGAGGTGATAGGGAGGGAAGGAGGGAACATGTATTTGGTAAACACCTATTATGTGCCAGGCACTGTGTTGAGCCCAGTACAAAAATTATCTCTTCTGATCCTTAGTCTAACCCTAGCTCTATCCATTGTGCCACCTAGCTCAACAGCCTTGGGAGGTAGGTGTGGGAAGAGGCAGTTGGGGAGAGGACTAGTTGCTGTGGAATTTGGAAAATAATCTCAGGGTGAGGGATGTGTGTGGGGAGAGTGACCTTGGCCCATCTGGCAGGGGATAAGAGATAACTCCAGCTTCTCCCACCAGGGACTCTCCTGCCTACATCCTCACCTACAAAGCGGACTGTCCGACGCAGGAAAGAGTTGAAGTTGCAGCCCCCAGCATTGATGCTCCCCTCCGCGTTGGTGCGGCCCTTCAGCTTGGACTGGAGACAGTAAACGATGCCTTCCCCGACCATGATCTGCACCAGGGAGGGGAGTAAGGGCTAGCCTCAGCTGGCAGCTTCTTCCCAAGCCCTTCCCAGCTCCTTCCACTGGGTCCCACCAGGTGTGAGGAAAGGGAATATGACCCTCAGTAAGCCCCTTCCTCTCTAGGCTAATCTCCTCAGGTGAAAGAAAATGTTTTTTCTCTTCTTAAATTTTCCCAGAGCACTCTGTCTGGATCTCTCCTGGTCCGTGAACCTAGTGAACCCTGTACCTCTTCCCCTCTCATCATTGCCTCCCCACCCCACAAATTGGGAGGTAGGGTCTGCATCATTCTTATTTTTCTATTCCAATCACTTAAAACAGTGCCCTGCATCTAGCAGGCACTTAGCCATTTGGCCAAGTTATGTTGTTGAATCTCCTCACAGGAAGATTGGACTCAATGATCCCTGAGGTTATTTTTTCCCCCCCGGCTCTGACACTCTGTTCTACAGACTTTCTCAGCTTTGAAATTCTTCCTAAGGTATTCTCTAGCCCTGACATTCCCTGTTCTATGGCCCTTCCCAGATTTGAATTCCATGTATGGTGTTCTAGGCCCCTTCAAGCTTTGCCATTCTGTGTTCTGAAGTTCCTTCCAATTCTGACAGTCTGAATTCTAAGGACTCTACCATCTTTGACATTCTGCATTCCATGGCCCCTCTCAATTTTAAAATTCAATGCACTATATTCTAAGGTCCCTTCTAGCTCTGACATTCTATGTTCTAAAGTCTATTGATGCTTTAATATTTTATGTTCTATGTTATAAGATTCTGTCTGGCTCTGACACTCTACCAGTGGTGAGGAATCTGTGGCCTCAAGGCCACAGGTAGCCTTCTAGGTCCTTGGGTGTGGCTGACTGAGTCCAAATTTTATAGAACAAATCCTTTTATTAAGGGGATTTGTTTTGTGAAGCTTGTATTCAGTCAAAGGGCCACACTTGAGGACCTAGAGGACCACATGTGGTTGTGTGGCCAAAGATCTCCTACCCCTGCATTCTGTAAGGTCTCCCAGGTCTGACAGTCCTCCAAGCTCTGATATCTATTAGTCAGTTAATCACCAAGGGCTCTAGGGACACTCACATGTTGCCTTCAGAGGTACGTGGTTCTTCCCTCTCCAGAGGGACCAGTGGGCAGTAGGACTGGGAATTCTAGAGAGGTTGTGTGAGTAGCCCAGTGTCACATATTGGAGTCAAAGGGACAAGTGGGTGCTAGAACTGAAGTCTCTCATGCGCCAATCCAGCTGGGCTCCAATCTCCATCCTGCTGGCCTCTGATCCTCCCAAACCCACCCCAAGACAGGACATCCTGAAGACTTACAGAGGCAGCTGGGGCAGCAAAGGCCAGGCTTAAGAGCATGAGCAGTGGGATAAGCTCCTCACTGGTCTCCACGTAGGGCATGGACAAGGTCCGGTCGTAGCACTGGAAGCCCACCTTGGCTGGCTTGAAAAGGTCGGTCAGCTCCAAGAAGTAAAGGGTCACAATGGAAGAGGCGACAATGGGGAGCTGGTAGATTGGGAAAGAGAGAGGGCTTGGTGTGGGGAAGCTCTAGATCTGGGTTCTAGCTCTCAAATCCACTCTGGCTCCTGCAGTCTCTCTCTATCCACATCCCCGCTCCTTCCCCCAAGCCTCTTTCCTAATCCATCCCCTGGGAAATACCATAGACCTGATCTGGCCCATATGAAGAACCCTACCTATTTGTACTGATCTGGCCCTACCTATTTGTACATCTCATTATTGCATTGGATCTATTTTTTTTGGGGGGTTAGGCAATGGGGTTAAGTGACTTGCCCAGAGTCACACAGCTAGTGTTATGTGTCTGAGGCTGGATTTGAACTCAGTTCCTCCTGAATCCAGGGCCAGTGCTCTTTCTACTGCGCCATCTAGCTGCCCCCCATTAGATCTCGTTTGATCCACACACAAACCCTGGGAGGTAGATGCTATTGTTATTCTCATTTTACAGATAAGGAAACTGAGGCATAAGTTAAGTGACTTGCCCAAGATCATATCGTTATTAGGTATTTGGATTTGAATCCAGGTCTTCTTGACTCCAGGTCCAGCAATCTATCCACTGGATTACCTTTCTGCTTCAATGATATATTTGTAAAGTGTTTTGCAAAACTTAAAGCACTATATAAATGCTGGCTATTGTTATCATTATCATTATTATTATTAATGCAAGTCCCTGTAAGGCCCTATGTACCCTCCAGTCTGTACTCCTCCCTTTCTGACCTTCCCACCATGTGCCCTTTTATTCTGTTCAAGCTAGTTTTCTCCCCATCTCTTTCATACTGGGCTCATTGGTGTTTTTTTTTACCTCTCCTGCCCAAATCTGAGCTCAGAAAAGGGAGAAATTCTGGTGGTTAGGGCAGACTTTCTGAAGGAGAGGGAACTGGGGCTGGCCTTATGAATCATCGACTCACACCAGGTAGGGGTGTTCGCTAAGGATACAGCATTCTCTAAATTGGACCTTTCTATTATCTCTAATTGTATTGTTTAAGGATTAATTTTCATAATGAAGACCTTGGGTCAAGTACAATCTTATATATATATATGAAACGGATAGGCTGGATTTTAAATCAGAAGATCTGGGTTTGAATTCTGGTCCTTTATATGACTGGCTATGTTACTTAGCATCTAAGTTTCAATTTCCTCACTTGTAAAAAGTGTGTGGTGGGGAAAGGGGTTGCGCTAAATGACCTCTGAGGTCCCTCCCAGTCTAAAGCCTGAGACCCTTTTACTCCATGGATCTGACTGATCCAGCTGGTGATCCCCCCACCCCAATACTGGCAGCTGGGTGGGGTATTTGTCTTGCCTCCCAGGACCTGGTTGCCTGCCCCCATCCCTCTGAGGATGTGGTCCTGTTTCTCTCAATCACAAACATCCTGACAGTCTTTCGGGGGAACTGAAGGCCAAATCTTAGGTTAGGGCCTGGCCACCCAGATAATGTCTGGCTGCCCCTGGCTGGCCTGCCTGTCACCACTGTTTGTCCGTCTGGCTTCCAGTATGACTACCAGTTAGCTAAGTACTCTTTCCACCTGCTGGAAAATCAGATCTCAGAGGCCTTAGAGGTGGTAGAGAAGAAAAGATCTCTGAATTAAGGACTCAGGATACCTGGGTTCTAGCACTGCTTCTGACTTTCATGGACAAGTCTCTTTCTGTTTGTGGACCTCAGTTTCCTTCTCTGTAAGGGGGTAGAACTCCATGTCTAAGGTCCACTTAAGCTCTGATATTTTTTGGTCCATGTTCTAAGGTCCTTCCCACCTCTTCCATTCTGTGTTCTAAGGTCCCTCCCACCTCTGACAATCCATATTCTAAAGGCCCTTCCAGCTCTGACATTCTGTATTCTAAGGTCCTTCTGAGCTCTGAAATTCTATGTCCTATGTTCTAAAGACGCTTCTGGCTTTGACATTTCATATTTTATGCTTCAAGGGCCCCTTCTAACTGCTGTTTTGGAGGAGGGATGGCTGCCTAAGTGGGGTTGCAGTCACCCCTTCCTGGGCTTAGTCTGTCTATTGGTCCCCATGTTCCATCACCTCCACAAAGTAGAAACACGGCAGGAGTGTCATGCTGTCCTTTGGACCCTTGGCCTTCTCCTTGGCTGAAAGCATGATGTCCTGGGGGCTAGGGACAGGGCAGTCAGGTCAAGGCCCCAAGGCTGCACAGGAAAGAAAAGGGTGAATGTGTGGTCTCTAAGGGACCCAGGATATGTATGCATGCATGCATGCCTCTGTGTGTGTGTGGTGGGGCTGGTACTGAGGGGATGGTGATGGCAGGCAGTGCAAGGCCTGCTTTTCTGGCCCCATCCCATCTCCTGTCTAGGGGTGCCCAGTTTTTTGGAGAGGCATCTCTGAACTGGGAGGGTGAAGGGACCCCAGAAAGGGCTTGATTTATGCCTCCCCCCAACCTGGCCCCGTTCTTGGGGGGATGGTAAGGATGACGGGAGAGGTCCTGGAGCAGGAGGCTAGCAGGGGAGGGGGGCGATTAGGTCTGTGGGGGGAACAGGAAGGTGAGAAGCCCCATGCCATCCCCGAGCAGAGGGCTCTGAGAGAAGAGAGCGATAGCAGGGGGAGGAATTGGAATGGGGGGGGGGGAGCGTAGCGTCCTATCCCGCAGATCTGCATCCCCGCGGATCTGCATCCTCACGTCTCCCCACTTACCTCGGGGGCTCCGCAGGGACCGGCGGGGCCCTCCCAGTCTAGAGGCGGTGGCGGCGGCGGCAGCCGGGAGCTGGACTCGGAGCCCGAGCTGGAGCTCGAGCCCGAGCTGGTGCTGGAGCTCGAGCCCGAGCCCGAGCCCGAGCCCGAGCCGGAGCGCAGACAAAGCGCCCCTCCCCGGCGCGGCCCCTCGGTCCCCGCGCCCCGCGCAGCCCCGCGCAGCCGCTGCGCATCCCAGCCCCGGCGCGCCGCGGGCCTCCGGGATGGGCCCGAGAGACAGGGGCAGAGGCAGAGGCAGAGGCAAAGGCAGAGGCAGGGGCAGGCGCGGCGGGGCCGGTGGCGGCGGCTGCGGGAGCCCGGAGGAGGGGCTGCGAGCGGTGGAGGCGGCTGCGGCGCGGTCGGGGCGGGGCCAGGCTGCGAGCGCCAGGATGCTACGGGGCGCGGGGGCCGGGGGGCTCCCTCGGGGGGTGTGGCCGAGCCGTCCCGAGGCCGGCGCCGTCCCGGCTCCCGGGGACCGCGTCCCTGTCTCCGGACAGGGCTGCCCCTAGCTCTGGGCCCCCTCCGCGGGGCTCCCCCTGCTCCTCTGTGCCGGGGTCTTCTGGCCCCTGTAGCTCCCAGAGGCTCGTTTCTTTCCATGTCTGCTCTCTCTGGTCATCGCGCCTTGGCTTTCTGGTGGTGCTCCCACGATCTCCCCACCCGGTGTCACCGTATCTCCCCCTGTCTCCCCACTACTCTCTGTGTCTCCCAGTGTCTCCTGGCTCGGTGTCTCCTCATATGTGTTTCCTTGGGATCATACGTTCATAGATCTAGGTGCCTTAGAGGCCGAGTCCAGCCCCCTCATTCCACAGATAACGGAACCGAGAACTGGAGAGAGGATCTGATTTGCCCAGAGTCACACAGAATAAGTGGCGGGGTCAGGATTTGAACTAATGTCCCTGGACCCTCTACTAGACCGCCTTCTCCGTGTCTCCCTGGATCATTCCATCCGATTCTATGGCTAGCTCTGTCTATTATGATCTGTCTTAGGGAAGAGAGAGGCAGTGGGGTACAAAGGGCAATAAATCTGGACCCCGGGGTTGAAATCCCACCTCTGCCACTTAGTAACCGCGGGTGGGTACCCCCACTATGTTCGGGAAGTCACTTCAGCTGTTTGGCCCCTGTTTTATCTTCTGTAAAATGGACTATTAGACCCCTCTTAAATCAATGATTCTATGTATAATTTCTCCTATCTGTTTCTCCTATAGTATCTCCAGTATCTGTGTCTCTTGTCTTTCTTGGGATATTTCCCCTCCTGGTCTCAATGGCTGGCTCTGTATCTCTTCCCATCTGTTCACAACTCTGTGTTGTGTAAAAGGGAATCTCCCTGCCTGCACTCTGGCTGGCTCCGTTTCTCTCCTGCTTCTTTCCCTCTGTCTTTTCTCATGCCTCACCATCTCTCAGTGTCTCCTGGGGAATCTCCTTGCTCCTCTCTGGCTGCCTCCTGGCCCTGCCAACTTCTCTCCCAGTTTCCATGGTGAGCTCCCAGGGGCTGAGAGACAAAGGAGATAAGTGATGGCTGGTTCTGTATTGTGTGTGTGTGTATGTGTGTGTGTGTGTGTGTGTGTGTATCAGGTTGAAGGCCCCCCCCAAAAGAAGCTAAGGTGGTGGGTGTCCAGGATTTAATGCGGCTCAGCTCGGCTTAGTGCTGGGGAGCTATACCCTACATAGTGATTCATTAGGGGGTTATTCTGATTTGGGGAAGACTTATACAAGCTGATGCAAAGTGAAGTGAGCAGAACCAGGAAAACAACATATACAATGATTACAGTAATGTAAACAGGAAGAACAACAAAATAGTCAAAATAGCATTCTCTGAAAAATCATGATCAAACTTGGCACCAAAGAAGAGACAGGAGAATGTCCCTCTTTCCTTTCTATGGGGACTAGGGTACAGAACACTGCATGTGCTGTCCATGTACTGTTAGTTTTGTAGTCCCCCCCTTTTTCCTTTTTATTGTTTGTAAAAAAGAATGACTTTCAGAGCAGGGAAGGGTTATATAGATTTGGAAATAAAATTATATATTGGGAAATGAAGGTTACATAAAACAGAAAATATTAAAAATTTAAAAGTCATTCTGATAAATGGAGCCTCCCCATTTTCCTCTTCTTTTGCTCTACACTCAGTGGGGATATGGGGAGGGGGTAGCCGCACCCAACCCTCGACAATCCTTCCTTCTTCCCTCCCCTTCCTTCCTTTCCCCCTCCATCTTCCTTCCTTCCTTGCTTCCCTCCCTCCCTCATCTACTTTGATTACAGAAGTGTCAGGTCTCTAGATTCAGCTCAATTGGCGAAGAAATGTGCTCTCTTTTGCTTAAGGGCCTGAGCTATTCTTCCCCTCCTCCTCCATTAGAAATTGTGGGGCTGCTCACTGATGCGGGGGAACCTTGCCTGTCATTCCAGCATCCACCTATCACCTAGCAACTGGGAAAGAGGCGGGGACTTCCCTGCAGCTGTTGTTCTGGTGGCTTGCTCGTCATGTCAGGGAGTGAGCCCTCAATCCTTCCTCCTCCCACCCCAGGATTCCAATCCTTCCCCATGGGGAGGACCTGACATTGCTGCTTGGGAAGCTGTAGGACAATAAGCCACTTATTCTGGCTCCTGTCCATCTCCTCTTTGGATCCCCACAGCAGCTCTGGGACAGAGGAGTCCCAATATCACCAACCCAGAGCTGGAAGGGACCTGAGAGGCCACCTAGTTGTTTTCAGATGGGAAACTGGAGCCCAGAGGGTGAAGTCATTTGTCCAAAGTCACACAGCTAATAAGAATTAGAGGAAGCATTTGAACCCAGGTCTTCCTGACTCCAAGCCCAGCTCTTTATCCACTATGTCTCTCAAGGTACCATAGGGCCAGGGGATGAACAGTAACTTGCTCTTAGAAGTAATCTCATTCAGTTTTCTCCTTTTACAGATGTGGAATTCAAGCCCAGAGTGGTTCATTGACTTGTCCAAGGTCATCACACAAGTACTGAGGAAAGCCAGGACTCACCCCTGGGTCCTCTAATTCCAAATCTCTATTGCTTTCAACAGAGTTCCACTTTGCCTTGGGAAGAAGCCTTACCCAACTCACACAGGGCTCATTGTCATAGCTTGAATGAGAATTGTTTCCCAGTTGAAGTATCAAATTTTAGAGAATCATCTAATTGTGTTCAATTCAATTCAATCCAACAAGCTTTTATTAAAAGTGCCTACTCTAATAAGGGGGAAAAGGGCCTTTGAGGCCATCAAATCCAACCCCCTCATTTTAAAGATGGGGAAACTGAGGCTCAGAGCTGGCAAAAGAGTTGCCCAAGGACACATAATATGTTAATTGCAGATCTGGGATTACGCCCAAGATTTTAACTGCCTTGCACTGAGTTACCAGTCTGTGATTCATTAGGGAGATAGAAGGCTCATGCATAGTATATAAGCAAACACTGAATGGTGTGGTAAGAGAGCAGTTAATGTTGTGTGAGACATTTCCAGGATTATTGCATGCTGCTTCCCTTACAGGCATTCAGCTTCCAGCCAACCTGGGCTCCTGGCTTTTCCCTGAACTTTGCACTCAGTCTCCTGCTTTTGTCTTTTTTGTGTGAGGGTCCCCTATATCTGGAATGCTTTTCCTCTGCATCTCTGCTTCTCAGAAATCCTAGCCTCTCTCAAAGCTCAGCTCATCCCTTTAGTTATTAGTGATTTCTCCCTTCTGAAGTAACCTTGTATGATTCCTCTTACTGGAATGTAAGCTCCTTGAGGGCAGGGATTTCTCTTTTTTTCTTTCCCTCTTTTCTTTTCTCTATCCCTGGCTGTCAGCATTGCACCTTCCACTTAAACATATGTTTATTGGATTGGATTGGATTAGAATCTTTTAGACAGTAGGAAGAGAATCCTAAAGTTGGGAAAGGTTCTTGCAGGAGGGGCATCTTGCTGCAGGGAACAGAGCTTTGGTCTGCAAATAAGATTCTAGTTTCAATTTTGCTCCTAACTCGCTGGGGGTCAGTCCTTTCCTCTCTATGAGCCTCAGTTTCCTCATCTGTAAAATCAGGGGTTTGCATTTAGTTTTCTTTAAGGTCTCTCTTCCTCAGTTGTGACAGTATCTATGCCAAGTTCCTTTCCAGCTTCGACAGTCTATGGTCTGAGTTCTATGTTCTAAGACCCTCCTAGCTCTGACATTTCATGTTCTAAGGTCCCTCCCAACTCTGATATTCTATATCCTAAAGGCATTTATTTCCTACCAGTTGCTCTTCTGGGCTTCATCATAGTCTCCAGAAAGCCGTCATCCCACAAGGTCATATCAGCTCTGAAACTCACATCTCTTTAGTAACCCTCACTCTGGGTCCCTGTCTCCCTTTGCATTTCCCATCAAGCTACCCTAATATCTTTCCAGTTTCTTATAATGTATTGCCCTTCCCCATTAGATTATGAGCTCCTTGATTTTTTTCTTAAATTTAAATTTTCAGTTCTAAGTTCCCTTCCCCTCTCCAGCCCTTCCCCTACCCACTGAGAAGGCAAGAAATATGACACTCATTACACATGTGAAGTTGTGTACAACATGTGACCTTTTTTTGAGATCATTTTTTAAAATTTTTATTAATTTATTTTGATTTATCAACAATCACTTCCATACGCTTTTGAGTTGAAAATTTTTCTCCCCCTTCCTCCCCTCCACCCTCCCCAAGATGGCGCACAATCTGATATAGGCTTTACATTTACATACCCGTGATACATATTTTCACGTTAGTGAAGTTGTAAGTAAAAATTAAAATCAATAGGAGGAACCATCAGAAAGATGAAACAAAACTCAACAAAAGGTAAAAATAAGTGATAGTGATTCGACTTCCACAGTTCTTTCTTTGGATGTGGACAGTATTTTCCATCCTGAGGCCTCTGGAGATGTCTTAGATCTTCGTAATGCTGAGAAGGGTTCAGTTTGACAGTCTTAGTCATTGCATAACATGGCTGTTATTGTGTACAAAGTCCTCTTGGTTCTGCTCACTTCATTCAGCATCAGACCACATAAGTCTTTCCAGGTTTTTCTGAAGTCAGCCTGTTCATCATTTCTTATAGCACAATAGTATTCCACAACTTGCTTAGCCATTCCCCAATTGATGGGCATCCTCTCAATTTCCAATTCTTTGCCACCACAAAAAGGGCTGCTATGAATATTTTTGTACATGTGGGTCCTTTTCCCATTTGTTTGATCTCTTTGGGATATAGCCCTAGAAGTGCTATTGCTGGATCAAAGGGTATGCACATTTTTGTAGCCCTTTGGGCATAGTTCCAAATTGTTCTCCAAAATGGTTGGATCATTTCTCAACTCCACCAACAATGTATTAGCGTTCCAATTTTCCCACATCCTCTCCAGCATTTATTATTTTCCTGTTTTGTCATGTTGGCCAATCTGATAGGTGTGATATGGTACCTCAGAATTGTTTTGATTTGCATTTCTCTAATCAATAATGATTTAGAGCATTTTTTCATATGTCTATAGATGGCTTTAATTTCTTCATCTGAGAACTGTCTGTTCATATCCTTTGACCATTTATCAATTGGGGTTATGGCTTGTGTTCTTATAAATTTGTCTTAATTCTCTATATATTTTAGAAATGAGGCCTTTATCAGAGAGACTAGTTGTAAAAATTCTTTCCCAATTTTCTACCTTCCTTCTAATCTTAGTTGCATTGGCTTTGTTTGTGCAAAAACTTTTCAATTTAATGCAATCAAAATTATCCATTTTGCTTTTTGTAATGTTCTCTATCTCCTGTTTGGTCATGAATTCTTCTGTTCTCCATAGATCTGATAGGTAAACTGTTCCTTGTTCTCCCAGTTTGCTTATAGTATCAGCCTTTATATCTAAGTCCTGAACCCATTTTGACTTTATTTTGGTATATGGCATGAGATTTTGGTCTATGCCTAGTTTCTGCCATACTCTTTTCCAGTTTTCCCAGCAGTTTTTGTCAAAGAGTGGGTTCTTATCCCAGAAGCAGGGGTCTTTGGGTTTATCAAATAATAGATTACTATAGTCATTGACCACTGTGTCTTGTATATTTAACCTATTCCAATGATCCACCTCCCTATGTCTTAGCCAGTACCAAGCAGTTTTGATGATTGCTGCTTAACACGTGACCTTCTTGAGAGCAGGTTCTGTTTTTTTTGTGTCCTCAGTACTTAGTACCGTGACTGGAGCATAGTAGGTGCTCAACAAATGTTTGTTGCCTTTCTCTCAGGGGATTTCATGTCCTAAGGACTGTCCTTGCTCTGACATCCTGTGTTCTCAGGGCCCTCCCAGCTCTGATATTCTGTATTCTAAGCCCCCTCCCAGCCCAGACATTCTATGTTCTCAGGGACCTCCTAGCTACTCTATAAGGGCTCCACTCCTTTAGTGACCTGGCTGTCCGGGTCATCAAGAAGCCCCACTTCCTGGCCTTGCTGTCTATGCCTCTAGTTTCCATGCACTGGGGTTCATATCTTCCCAGGACCCATGGAAATTCCCCATATTTCTCCTGGACCCTGTCATAGACATCGACTTTCCCTCTCACACCAGGCAAACAGGTCCCAGCCTGGATGCGAGGCCATGGGAAGGGTGTCTTGAGCTGAGACTTCCTCCATCCTGGAGGTCACAAGGTTCCCTTTCCCCATCCTGCCATTGTCCTGAGGGGAAAGCCCCTCTGTCCCCTGTTCCTATGAACTCTGCTTGACCTGAGGAGACGGTTATCATGTGCATACCACTTCACTGCCCCTCCCCCCCAAGCTCTAGGATGGATGGCAGTTAAGCTTTCCCTCCTGGACAGATCTCCCTAGGACAGATCTCCCTAGGACAGATCTCCTACAGCCTCGGGTTAGGAGTCATAAGAGCTTTCCCAGCTCTGTAACTGACTCCCTGTGGGACCTCAGGGAAGTCTCTGGGCCTCAGTTTCTCTAAATGATGCTCTAGAGTAGATAGATGGTCTTCTAGGCTACCTCCAGTAATGACACTTTGTGATTTAAGGTTGGAGGGAGAACACTCATACCAGAGTATCTCTTTGCTCCCTCCAGGGAGCTACCTCTCCTCCAACCCCCTCTTTGCAACTGGTTCTCCCTTCCACAGGCACTCCGAATTCTGAAATGCCCACAGGTGGGCCCCTGTCCTGGCTTTTTCCTTTTCTAGCCTCCTTGCAGGATTAGGGGCAACACGTGTGGAGGGACCCTTATCAAACCCTAATTTGTCTTGAAAGCTTCAGGCAACTTCCATGAACTGGTGGTCAGTGAGAGGGTTGGGCTCAATTAGAAGGGACCGGTCTGTGAAGTGGATAGCTTGAAGAGACTGAGGGTTTGGTGAGAGAGATGGGGCTCAGCTGGGATGCTGTAGGGTCCAGTGAGGAGTTGGGGTGCTGAGCAAGGGAGATGGTGCCAGGGACTCAGTAAGGGAGTCAGGAGACCCATGGGATGGGGGATCAATAGTTAGATGGGAATTGAATGAGGTAAATGGGGACTTAGTGAGGAGGTTGGGGAAGTCTGTAGCTTGGTTGTGGCATCAGTAAACTTATCTCTGATCTGTGCCTGGTCTCAACCCAAAGGATTATGGTTCTTATTTGCTGTCCATATCTAAGTCAATTTTATTCTAATAAGCCCTTATCCTAGCTGGGTTATAAGAGCATAGGTTTAGAATGGGAAGAGACCCTAGAGAACACTGAGTCCAACCCCATCATCTTTCAAAGATAATAAGAGAAAGTTAAGTAACTTACTCAGGGTCACCCTGCCAGTAACTGCCTGAGATAGGGGTTGATCCCACTTCTTCCTTACTTATGAGTTAGGGGTCTAGCGCTGTAACCACTCTACAATACTGCTTCCCTTTCCACAATCTTATTTAGTCTTTCCCCTGGTTAGGAGAATTCAGCCCATTACTAAGTTTCCTTAAGCTGAGTTCCCAATCTCCATCAATTCCCAGGAAGGGTTCTATTTTCTCCCATCTCTTCCCTTTTTCTTATGTTGCCATCTTGTCTCTCTGGCCTTTGCAGAGGGGAAGAGGGGAATTCCCACATTATCTGTTCTGTGTTAATTGATCCTGAATTCCTTCTGTGCCCTTCCTATCCCCCACCTCCCTCCAACCCTTCATTCTCAGAGCTTCATTTTTATTATCTTACCTAGCTCAGCTGGAAGACCCTCTCTTTTGTGTCACCCCCAATCCCTTTTCAAGGGTTCAGGGGCTCCCATACACATTGGCATGTTAAAAAGGATAGCTATTATCTTCCATGAAAATACTCATTCTTTCATCTGCCAAGGATTTATGAGCATCTATGATATACAAGGCCCTGAGGAGGAGGGAAAGACTGTAAGTGTTAACTCACTACCTTCAGATAAATTTTAACCTCCAGGCTCCCATCTGGAATCCTGCCCAATGTATCATTCCAAGGCTGACAGATATAGGGTTGGAAGGGACCACAGAAGCTTTTTTCTTCTACCCCATCACTTTAAGGAGACTGAGGCCCAGAGTGGTTAATGACTTGCCCCAGGTCACACAGGTATGAAGCCTCATGAGAGGGTTTGGAGTCCAGGTCTTTGATTCTAGAGCCAAGTAAGAACTCTTTCCAGGTAAGCGGAGAAGAGTCTTTGAATTACACTCATGATCTGGGTTCCAATCCTGGCTCTGAGAGTTGCTAGCTGTGTGACTTGGGTAATTCATTAACCTCTCAGTTTCCTCATCTGTAAAATGGAGGTAATAATGGTGCCATCATTCTGTTGGTTATTTCTAATTTCTATCTTGTTTGTATATAGTTATTTGCATATTGTCTCCCCAAATTAGACTGGAAGCTTCTTGAGAGCAGGGACCTTCTTTTACCTTTTTTTGTATCCTCAGTGTTTAGCACAGGGCCTGGTACACAGTAGATGCTTAATAAATGTTTATTGACTGACCAACTACCAACATCAGAGATTGGTGAGGAAAGTCCTTTGTGAACCTCAAAGTGCTAGAGATAAAAATAGTCATCGATTCAGAAGAAACCCTAGAGAAAGTGGAGTCCAATTTCTTCCTGAAGCTGAGAGAGAGAAATATGCTCTAATAAGGTCACTTGGCTACAGAGTGAGTGGCTGAACTGGGTTTTGAACCCAGGTCTTCTGGTAAATGCAGTGCTCACTCCCCTGTACCATGCTGACATGCTGACTCCATTGAACTCTCCTTTTCCTTTCTGTGTATCATCAGTGCTTAGCATAATGCCTGGCACATACTAGGCATTTAATAAATGCTTCTTGACTCCCTTTCCTTTCCTTGTTTATTCTTCTCTGTAACCCCCTAGCTAGCACCTGTTGCTTTCTTAAGTGCATAGTAAATGCTTGATAAACATTTGATCAAGTCACTTCACTGATGGGATTTCCATCTGGTAAAAATTCTCTTCAGGTCAATAAAGGCTGAACTGTCCCAAAGATTTACCGTATTATTTTTTCTCATAGTCTTTCTCACTGGTCTGAATTTTCTGATGCTTTGTGCTGGATGAGCTGGGGTTAAATAGACCTCCTTTCATGTACATAGTTTTTCTTCCATATGTGTTCTTTGAGATAATAATTTTTTTCCTTGAATTTATTTACTTATTTTTTTTTTGGTGAGGCCCATATGTGTTCTTTGATGCTTAATGGAGGACACTCTACTGTTGAAGGCTCTCTTACATTCATTGTATTTATAATGTTTCTCTCCAGTATGAGTTCTTACATGTTTGGCCAAGAATGAGCTCTGAGTCAGGGCTTTGCCATATTCATTGCATTTATAATGTTTCTCTCCAGTATGAGTTTTCACATGTTTTGTAAGGGATGAACTTTGGCTGAAGGCCTTCCCACATTCTTACATTTATAAGGTTTCTCTTGGGTATGAATCCTCTGATGTCGAATAAGGTGTGGGCTCTGGCTGAAGGCTTTGCCACATTCATGGCTTTCATAAGGTTTCTCTCTGGTGGATCCTCTGATGCTTGATAAAGAATGAGCAGTCACTGAAAGCTTTACCACATTCATTACATTCATAAGGTTTTTCTCCAGTATGAATTCTCTGATGTAAAGTTTGGTCTCTGTCTGAATGTTTTCCCACGCTCATTACATTTATAGGGTTTCTCCCCAGTATGAATCCTCCTATGTTTTTTAAGGAGTGAGCTATGGTTGAAAGCCTTCCCACAGTCAAGACATTCATATGGTTTCTCCCCAGTATGGATTCTATGTCACTAAAGGATTTCCTGCATTCATCACATGGATAAGGCTTCTCTCCTGTGTGAATTCTCTGATGTTTAGTAAGGAATGAACTGTCACCCACACACATTACATTCATAGGGCTGCTCTCTGGTATGCATCCTCTGATGAAGAATGAGATGTGAGCTTTGGCCAAAGGTCTTCCCACATTCATTACACTGATAAGTTTTCTCCCCTGTATGAATTCTCTGATGTGTAGTAAGGGATGAACTATCACTGAAGGCTTTTCCACATTCATGACACTCGTAAGGTTTCTCCCCAGTATGAGTCCTCTGATGTTTAGTAAGGGATGAACTGTCACTGAAGGCTTTTCTGCATTCGTTACACTCATAGAGTTTCTCCCCAGTATGAATCCTCTGAAGCTGGATAAAAGCAGAGCAATATTTGAAGTCTTTCTCACAATCGAGGCACTTCCATAGTTTCCTCTGCTGCTGAACTAGGTCTGAGTCCTTCTCTCTTAAGCTCTCTCCATAGGCATCAGATGAGAGATGCCTCTCTCCTTTGGTAACTCTTTTTTTTCCTTTGGTAACTCTTGTCTGGCCAACAATAACTGGCTGCATATTGGTGCTTCCTCCTGATTCACAGGCTGATTCCCCAGGAGAGGCCTTCTTGTGGGTGACCACCACTCGCCTCAAACATCTCTCTGGCTTCTCTGTTGCACTACAAACTGGTGTTTGACTTCCCATGCTTCTCCCAACATAACATCCCTTGGACCATCTCTTCTGAGTCTTTCCAAAATCCTGACCCTGTATGATCCTTCTTCAGGAATATCCTTCATGAGAGATGACACCTTGGTCTTAGACCTTGTCTCCCAACCTGAAAGAAATGGAGAAAGTAAATTCATTCATTCATTCAACAAACATTTTTAAGCACCTACTGTTTTAGAGAATTATGGCAACTATGTGAGGATAATAACATAAACCCAGGTAACCATGATATATAAAACATTGTACATTATATCATGTAAAGAGTATAGTAGCCAGGAGTATGCTGGAGCTAGCTAAAACCGGCTCTCAGTAGCCAATTATAAAATTTTCATTTACACTTTGGAAAATCAGCAAATGCTATAAATCAAGATTGACTTCTTGTTTTGCTGATTGTCTAGACTTAAGAAAGTAATGAAGAAAATATTAATAATGCCAATGAGGTGGCACCTGTATATTCCTTCACCCCATGAAAAGATGATTGTTAAACATGTACTAAAAAACCCCAGATGCCACCACACTGATAAAGGAAGACGTGCCCAGAAATAGAGCTGATTGTTAGACATTTACCAGCATACCCCTAAATGAAGCAGTCCCAGGGAGGCTCAAAGCCCGAGTTTCCCTAACACAGAGTAAGAACTGTGGTCCCTTTTTCCCAACATCAGGGAATGTGAATACCACCTCCCTCCTTCCACTCCCCCCCAGCATAAATCATCATCAATCCCCAACCTTGACGTATACCTCAGGTCTGAGTTCTTTGCTCCTTGGAGCTTTAGAAAAATCACTCTGGCAGCTGGGTGAAGGAAGGACTGGAATGAGGAGAGACTCCAATCCAATAACCATTGATTAAGTGCCTACTATGTGCCAGGCACTGTGCTAAGCTAAAAAGAAAGCCAATCTCTCCCAATTGCTTACAATAAGAAGGTTATTGTAATAGTCCAGGCATGAGATGGCAAGGATCTGAACTCTGCTGGTGTCTGTGAGTGGACAGAAGGGGACCCATAGGAGAGATGTGAAGATGGAAATGGTGAAGATGGAAGTGGCAGGAGTGGGCAATGGGCTGGATGTTGGGGACGAATGGAGTCAAAGATGCCCAGGTGATGGGGAGGATGGTGGGCCCAGGACAACACAACAAAGTTCAGAAGATTGGAAGGTTTGGGGTGGAAGATAATGAGTAGAAGAAAGTGAACTTGGATGGGATTGTTTTATGAAGGGTCTTGAGAGCCAGGCAGGGAAGTCTAGACTTCAGGCGCTAGGGATTCATTGTAGATACTTGAGCAGAAGAGTAACATGATAAAAGAAATGTCTTATGTAGAGTCTCCTGGTGGTTGTGTTTTGGAAAGGTTGATAGAAGAAGCTGGAACAAGGTGGGGGAGGTCCTTCGAATGGTAATGGTCTAGACTGGGGTAGAGAACATGGAGATGAAACTGTCCATCCAGGGTAAATGTCTCATAGAAAAGACTGACAGAATTCAGTAATCAATCAGATAAAATGAATCAAGGAGAGAAAAGATTCAAAGAATTATGTCATGGTTTTTCTAGCTTCAGATTGGAAGAATAGTAGTACCAGTGATAGAGAAGGAGATTGGAGGGGGGAAGGAAACTGATTTGGGTTGAAGAAGACAGGTTCTAAGAGGCAAGAGTAGTGGAACTGGAGTCAGGAGATCAGGGTTGCAACCTCAGGCTCACAAACTTCCTGGCTGTGTGATAACGGCAAGTCCCTTCACTGAACTTCAATCTGCTTCTCTGTAAAATGGGCATGATAACTTTTCTGGTGCTATATTTCAAAGGATTGTTGAGGAAAGTTCTTTGTAAGCCATGAAATGCTGAAGAAAAGAGAGCTACTCCTCCTTCCATGTGAGGTCCTGGACAAGGTTAGTTTGAGGTAAGGGGGTCACCCAAAAGCAAAAATACTTATCTGGAGTACAAGTGAGAGATTGGAGCTGGTTGGGATAGAAGAGGCAGTAAGTGAGAGCAAAACTGATCATTTTTCTTATATTTAGGACACACAATAGGCTTAATACTCAATGGTTGTGCTGCAAAACCATGTTTCTTTTAAACAGTCGGGTTGTTGAGTGATACAGAAGCCAGCTGTGGATCTTTGAAAGTCATTTCAATTCCCTCAGTCTCCAGTTTTATCTTCAGAATACTGATGAAGAAGAGATGATTTCTGAGGTTCCTTCCCAATTCCAAAATTTCTATAATTGACTCATTAGTCAGTTGGAGTTGGATAATTAGGAATATCTGGGGCAAACCACAAGCCATGATCTAAGGGCAGAGAAGAAGCAGATGAAGGAGAATGATCTACATGACTGCTTGGTTCTAGAAGACAGACAGCAATCAGAAAAGGGATTTTTTTTTTTAACCTCCTGAAAACTGAGCAGAGCTCAACAGAGCTTGGCTATGGGGAGAGACAAGAAAGGGTGAGCCCCGGTGAATTTAGTGGAACTGGTGAAGGCTGGGAAGGAAGGTCAATGAAAAAGGGCTTCTTAGTCCTAGGCAGATGAAAATATAAAATGGCTCTGTGACTGATGTCAGGGAAAAAGGCAGAGTCGTCACTGGAAAGAAGAGAATTAGATTGGTTATAGGCAGAGGAAAACAATGCAAAGTCATGTGGGTTCTTGAAAGACAAGGGAGGAAATCTTTTCAAGATGTAGGGTCAAGATGTATGATCAACACAGTTACATACATGGCAGAAGACTGAGGAAAGCGAAGACAATGATAAAGCCACTAGGGAGGCAAGAGGTGTCAGTATCGCCTCTCCTAGATAGCTAAGGGTCCTTGGGCAAGTCCTATATGGTTTATCACCTAAGGGCCCTCCCAGATCTGACATTCTATGTTCTAAAGGCCCTCCCAGCTCTGACATTCCACGTTCTAAGGGCCCTCCGAGCTCTGACATTCTGTGTTCTAAGGGCTCTCCTTGCTTGGTGCTCCTACATTTTCTGTTCTATGGTGGTATCTGAGAATGGGATTTCTATTTCTATTCTACCCTCATTATGTCCTTCTATTTAAATCTTTATTTTCTTTCAAGGACCAGCTTAGATGCCTCCATGAGTGATGCTTCCTGGATTGCCCTCCCCCACCAGCTGAAAGTGATTACTCTGTCCTCAAATTTTCTTAGATCACTTTTTTTTTAGATCTCTCTTCACCCCTACTATATCTTACCTTGTATTGGGCTTATTTTCATATATGCCTTAGCCTCCTCTCTTATTAAATGTAAAACCCCTGAGGACAGGTGTTGTATCATTTTCCATTTTTGTATCCCCAGTGTTTGGCTTATAGTTTGATGTTGACAGATTCCTAGACACAAAAAAGAAGATGCAGAAAAGGCTACCAAGAGTAGCTACAGGGGCAGTTAGGTGGTGCAGTGGGTAGATCACCGGCCCTGAAGTCAGGAGGACCTGAGTTCAAATCCGGCCTCAGACCAAACACTTGATACTTACTAGCTGTGTGACCCTGGGCAAGTCACTTAACCCCACTGTCTAGCCAAAAAAAAGGAAAAAGTGATACAAGGACAGTCTCGAGGTCTCTCTGAAGAACTTTGGAATTGATCGTGTGATGTGGGAGACACCGGCAGAGGACCGTCACCACGGCACGCCCACATCAGACAAGGGGCTGTGCCATATGAGCAAAGCAGAACTGAAGCAGCTCAAAAGAAAAGCGAGCTGTGCAAATTGAGAGAATCCACCCCAAATGTTCCCAGGGACTATTCATGCCCAATTTGTGGTAGAGCATTCTGAGCTCATACTGGTCTGATCAGCCACAGTCGGAGGCACTGTTACTTGACTCTAATGCAGTGATGTCATTTTGCTCCTCTTTGAAAACCACCCAATCAATAGGCTGCCCACTGCCCTCACTCACCTGGACAGATGGCTCTAGCACTGTCTCTCTTTCGGGCCCAAGGCTCCTTCCTTTGCTCCAGCTGGGAGATCACTTCGGGTTTAGAAACTAGCAGGCCTGTTTATGGGAAAAGAAGCCAGGCTTGGGACATGAAGCCATTCCATCTTTGCCCCATAGCTGCCCCATTCATCCAACAACATTCATTTGATGTGCATTTTTAAACACTCAGTGCACGCAGAGCACTACGCTTGGTGCTGGGGTGAGACACAGTTGAAATAAGACAGTTCCTGCTCTCATGGGGCTCACAGGCTAGCCCCTTGGTCTTCAGGGAAGAGAGGATAATAGGGAAGCCCAGTGGAATGTGGGGAAGACCTCTGAAGGAGCTCAACCAATGACTTCCCTCCCATCACCAACGGAGGCATCTCCCTCGGTCCCTTCGGGCAGTCATCAAGTTGGGGAAACAGAACATGGGAAAGCTGCGGGCTGAGGGGCTACATAGTGAAAAATTCTCATTTTACCCATACAAAGCACAGGACATTCCCTGGGGGATAGGGAATATGACCTGGCACTTTCACTGGCTGTCCTCTGTGCCTAGAATTCTCTCCCTCCTCATCTCTACTTCCTGGCTTCTCTGACTTCCTTCAAGTCTCAGCTAAACCCTACCATTCTCGATGTTAATGTCTCCCCTCTGCTGATTATCTTCAGTTTATTTTTACGTAGCTCGTACGCAGTTGCTTGCATCGTGTTTCCCCCATTGGATTGTGAGCTCCTTGAAAGCGGGGACTTTGCCCCCTCTCTCTTTGTACCTCCAGTGCTTAGCACTATGTCTAGCAAATAGCAGGTGCCTAATAAATGCTTGTTGAATTGACAGAAATGCCCTGGTTCTGGGGCCCAAGGGGACTGAGGAGGTAGGAGCCCTGATCCCAAACTCTTGTCCCACTTCTCCGTTCCCACCAGCAGGAGCAGAGGAGAATGGCCACCGAAATGAGTGGTTTGGGTGGGCCAGTAGTGAGTAGTGAGGAGCTGTTCCTACCCAAGGAGACCAGGTTCTTGAAGCTCTCCAGAATTACTTCTCTGTACAGCTCCCCCTGAGCAGGGCTCAGCTGCACCCACTCCTGGGGGGTGAAGTCCACGGCCACATCCTTGAATGTTGTGGATTCCTGAAAACACAGACCGTGTTCCTGCACACCCAGGGACCTCAGGGGTCAGAGGGGGAAGGCTGAAGGTCATATCATGGTGGGAGGTGGGGAGGAAAGAGGACAAACCATGTGAAAAGTGGCTGTAGTTGTCTTGTCAGGGGTGGCATCAAGCGGGGGGGGGTCCCTTCTCAGGCAGGGACTGGATTAGAAGCCCTTTGGGGTCCCTCCTGACTGCGAGTGATTCTGTGGTTCTTTGTAGGGCCGTGCTCTATTCCTTTTTTAATGGGGAGAAGTCTTCCCCTCCATCCCTCCCACCCCCTGAACATGAAACTCTTAAAAGACTAAAAACACATATATTTAAATAATCAAGGTTGAAATCATGGGGTACAGAGAGTGACCATCCAGGGATTCAGAGGAGAAAACTGAATTAGATTAGCAAGGAAAATCAGATAATCTTAGATTTTGAAGATGCTCCAGAGCAGAGGTGTCAAACTCATGGCCCTCTCTCTGGCCACCAATGCCAGAACCAGACTACAATGTAATTGGGAAATGTTTAACAAAACAAATAACATTAGAATTAAACACGGATAATGTTAGTTTGTGGTTTTCTAAGTCAATAGGCACCTGAAAAGATTGGTTGCTATTTGAGTTTGACACCATTGCCTTATATGCTTCTCAGTCCAATTTCTCCCCAACTGCAGTAATCAATCAATTAATCAAGAAGTGTTTACGTGTTGCCTGGCACTGTGCGGGGGGCTGGGGATACATGTCCCAAAATGACACACGTTCTGCTAATCCCATCCTTGTCAGCAAAGGAGCTCCCTGGCTCACAGAATCTAAGTGACAGACGGGATCCCAGAGGCCAGTCCACCCAGGGAATGAATCCCCACTGCAGCATACTCAGTGAGCGGCCATCTAGCATGAAGGCTTCTGGTGTGTATAAGGGGGCATGCCAGCGCCTGAAGCAGGCCATTCCACTCAGGGTAAGTCGCTCTCATACTTAGGATGTCTCCCCTGATATCCAGCCAAGGTCTGCCTCTTTTCCTCTCCTGCTTCCAATGCTGCTCTCTGGGTCCAAGCACAACAGTCTAATGCCTTTTTTTTTTTTTTACCTGACTGATTTTTGAATCCTTGAACACAGTTTTTATGTCCCCGGTGCAGTAGAGAGATCACTGGGCCTGGAGAGTTCAGATCTGGTTTCAGATACTTACTAGCTGTATGACCCTGGCCAAGTAATTTAATCTCTGTCTGCCTCAGTTTCCTCAATTGTCAAATGGGTATAGTAATAGCATCTAGTTCCCACGGTTGTTATGAGGTTCAAATAAGATATTTATAAAGCATTTAGCACAGTGCCTGGAATACAGTAGGTGCTTAATAAATGATTGTTTCTTTCCCTCTCTCTCTCCCTCTGCTTCCTTCCTTCCCACCCTCCCTCCTTCTGCTTTCTATGCAACTCTCTCTCTCCTCCTCTCACTCCCTTGCTATCCCTCTCTCCTTCCCTCCTTCCCACCTACTCACCCTCCCTCCCTCCTTTCCTCTTTCCCTCCTTCCCTTCCTTCCTCCCTCCCTCCCTCTCTCTCTCCCCCATCCTATCATCTAACCCCTTCCTTCCTTCTTTCCCATGAGTCTTGTCTCCTGAAGGCTAAAGGTCCTGGTTCCTCCAATTTATCCTTATCTGGATTGCATCTGTGTTTCTAGCACCTAGTAAATGCTTAATAAATGCTTTCTGATGGATGATCTCAAGGCTGTTTGCCATATCAGTGTCCTTGGTTTCTCACACGGCAGCTGATTCTATTTTTGCAAGGAGATTCTTCCTTTTCTAGAAACAACATTAGCTTCCCTTCCCACTTCACCAAACATTTATTAAGTGATTACTGTGCAGAACACAGAGCCGGGTGCAGGATGGTGTGTATGGCACCGTCTCTGCCCCATGGGGATTCACACCCATCGGTCATTGTTCTGCTCTGTAGGGCCAAACCCCTTTCCACATGCCAGCCCTACACGTACTTGCAAAGGTGGAAAGAATTTTGGACATGGAGTCAGGAACACATGAGTTTGAATCACAGGGTTGTTGTGACATTCAGCCAGGTGGCGCTGTGGTGGACAAAGCATCTGGCCTGCAGTCAGGAAGACTCGAGTTCAAATCCAGCCTCAGACACTTACTAGCTGTGTGATCCTGGGCAAGTCACTTAACTCAGTTTCCTCATCTGTAAAATGAGCTGCAGAAGGAAATGGCAAACCATTCCAGTATCTTTGCCAAGAAAACCCCCAAATGGAGTCATGAAGAGTTGGACACAACTGAACGACAATGTGAAACATTTTGTAAACCTTAAAGTGCTATATAAATGCAGGTTATATTATTACCATTCCATATCTTCTCTCTATTAAATATCCCCAGTTCTTTGAGCCGGCCATCAGGTGGCAAGCTCCTACCTTTCCTCTTCATCTTTTTCTGGATAATCCTTAGCTTCTGAACCTTCGTTCTGTAATGCCAGGTGTGTTCTGATGAGAGCAGGAGACAATAGGATTATTATGTCCCTTGTTCTGGGCACTAGACTTTTTTAGTTAAGATAGTTGAGGACTCTGAATGTGTTTGTCTGACACATCCCACTGTTGGTTCATACTAAGCAGCAGGTAAGAAAAAGTCTGGTTTGCTGCCTTCTTCACACCTGGACAGGACAGATGACTTTTTGAACCCACGTGAAGGATTTTACATTTTTCTCCACTAGACTCTGTCCAATTAGTTTCTGTCTCTTTGTTCCAGACTGAAGCTACTTTTTCGGAACTTGATTCCATCACCCAGTGGTTAGTTTTCTCTCTCTCCCAGCTTTGTGGCACTTTCCTGGTGGAAAAGCAGTGAGGGGCTCAGGTCCAAGAATAAAGTTGTGTTGGACGGAGAAGTTCTGGGATAGGGGAAGGAAATGCCCTTGAGACATGAGAGGGCATTTCAGGACACTTGGGACTGGATTGCCTGGAGCCCAGCAGACCTTTCTGTCTCCTCTGGGGAACAGAGTCCAGGGAAGGCACAGCTAGGGGAAGAGAAGGGAAGTATGAGGGAAGAGTCCTATCCCACATCAGTCCAGGCTGGAAATCCCAATAATACAATACAAAACAAACAACATACGATGACAGATATTTATGAAGGACCTACTAGGTACGTATCACTGTGCACAAAGTTTAGTTAAGACGTGGTATACGGTTCCGTGGAATTCAAAGACTAGTATATGGATGTCACAAATATACAGGTAACTATGACAGATGCTAAGGGCAGCTAGGTGGCACAGTGGATAGAGTGCTGGGCCTGAAGTCAGGAAGACTCATCTTCCTGAGTTCAAATCTGGCCTTAGACATTTTACTAGCTGTATGACCCTGGACAAATCACTTAACCCCATTTGCCTCAGTTTCTTCATCTGTAAAATGATCTGGTGAAGGAAATGGCAAACCACTCCAGTATCTCTGCCAAGAAAACCCCATGTGCAGTATTGCCATGCTATGGTCCACAGGATCACGAAGAGTCAGACACAACTAAACAAAAAATGAGCTGGAGAAGGAAATGGCAAACCGCTCCAGTATCTTTGCCAAGAAAACCCCAAATGGGGTCATGAAGAGTCAGACATGACTGAAACAACTGCACAGTAACAAATGATAAGGCAATAATGTGGGACAAGTCCATTAAGGAAGCACATGGAAAGTGTTAAATGGGGTGGGGGGGGGGAAGGATATTACTGATTTTGAGGAACCAGGGAAGGCTTCATGGAGGAGGTGATATTTAGGGGTGCTGCTCCTACTTTCAGAAAGGAAAGACACAGAAGCAACTCAAGAAGGGCTCTCTAAGCCCTTCTAAGATCCTCTAAGATCCGAGCTATGAGGTTCATGGACACTGCTCTCTGTAATCTGGCTCTATGGACATGCAGGTCTGCACAAGGGTGCAGGAACTGAATTCTCAGCTCTGTTTTCTATGTGTTGTAGGACACTAAC